AAAAATGGGGAAAGGGGAGTAACGTGCCTACTTCCCCACAACAGACCAAGGAGCATTGAATCGTTAGCTTATGAACAAACCCAAGCTGTATGGCAATTTCACCCATTTTTTTCTGATCTTTGTTACGTTTTATCTAATCATTTCTCTCCTTTATGTCAAAAATGCAATTCTAAAAATGTATAAAACACCAACAAATACTTTTTATTTATTAAGTTAGCAATTATTAACAGTGCTGCTAAGTTTTTTGTTCAAATGTATCAAGATGCAGCTTAAAACATCGGCTTTTTTAATAACTCTAAAATTCAAACCACAGTAATTAAGAACGAATTCTAAAGATATGAGTAAATGTCATACAACAGTGAAACAAGAAAATAAATGCAAATGCAACAAGGATCCTAAGCAAAGGTCAAATCAGCTTTACAGGTTAAACAATTCAGAGCAAAGGGCAAGAAATATACATTTCTGTTTTTACTGCTATTCTTAGATTTCATATTTTTCATTAAAATGATTAGGATATTTTATTTTTTGACTATTTTCATGCAGCATTTTAGATTCTCTGTTTCAGAAAGCTTGGTATGAGTCATTTGCCTTCAGCTCCGCGGCAAGTTCCTTTCATTCTCTTCATCTATTAGGTGATTCTGAGTATCGTTATCTGTAAAGTTGGAAAATTTAAAAACAACTAAATAAATAACTGGTCTTTCTTTAATTAGCTGCAGACTCATGGAGAGAGATATTAGTATTTCATGAAAATATTGTAAACTAAAATGATTTAATGTTTTACAGTAATATAAGACAAAAAAAAAACAAAAAAACAATGAATATGCAGCATTCACAAAAATCTCTAAAATGTATTAGTGTTATTTGGGTAACTAAGACTGTGCAAGATAAATGTTAGAACATTTAGAAAATGAAAAAAGACAAAGTTTGACACACTCAATGTCTTCCTCCTCTTCACTGCTGATATATAATTATATTAATTTCAGTCCAAAAAAGTACTTAAAGTCAGAGTAAAAACCCCTGATCTTGACCAGATAATTATGTAGAATAGGAAACACATGGCCATTCTTTTCCAGCCATGTAGTATCGAGCATATCAGGAACATTAAACAACATTAAATAACATACAGTACATGCCCATCTAAGCACGTAGTATTACAAAAATTAAAAGCAAAAATTAAATTGCAGTTTCACTTTCAACAACATAGTACATTGGCATGGTTAAAGCTAAAAAGGGATGTAAATGCCTATGTACATGAATCATTACTGCAATAGCTCTTAAATGCTCAAAAATTTGTTTTTCTTCATGTTGCAGTAAAATATACATAAAGGACTATGGAAGCCCGTTTCCGCCACTCTGTAAAAAAAAAAAAAAAAAAAAAAAAAACTATCAAAAAAAAAAAAAGTATCTCAATATAATGAGATAGTAACTCAATATAATGAGATAGTAAGTCAATATAATGAGATAGTATCTCATTATAATGAGATAGTAACTCATTATAATGAGATAGTAACTCAATATAATGAGATAGTATCTCATTATAATGAGATGCTATCTCATTATATTGAGATACTATCTCAATATAATGAGATAGTATCTCATTATAATGAGATAGTAACTCAATATAATGAGATAGTAACTCAATATAATGAGATAGTATCTCATTATAATGAGATAGCAACTCAATATAATGAGATAGTATCTCAATATAATGAGATAGTATCTCATTATAATGAGATAGTAACTCAATATAATGAGATAGTAACTCAATATAATGAGATAGTATCTCATTATAATGAGATAGTAACTCAATATAATGAGATAGTATCTCAATATAATGAGATAGTATCTCATTATAATGAGATAGTAACTCAATATAATGAGATAGTAACTCAATATAATGAGATACTATCTCATTATATTGAGATACTATCTCATTATATTGAGATAGTTTTTTTTTTTTTTTTTTGGAAGTTGAACCCCCATTTCAAATTGGTTCAGTCCACCTGTACCGGTTTGACTATACCGTCGGTCGCGCCTGCTGCCCACTAGGCCCTAACTGTTAACCGGTTTGACTATACAGTCGGTCGCGCCTGCTGCCTGCTAGGACCCAACTGTTAACCGGTTTGACTATACCGTCGGTCGCGCCTGCCGCCTGCTAGGACCCAACTGTTAACCGGTTTGACTGTCGGTCGCGCCTGCCGCCCACTAGGACCCAGCTGTTTACAACGGTAAGATATGTGGTTTTGTTAATTTAAGTCTGTAATATAAACTAGCATAGCATAAAGTCATCAATTTGGCACATTGACGATGGTAACTAATCTTGAAGATAGCTTCAGAAGATACATTCATATCTTTGAAGCTAACATTATCTGTTTCTTTACTTTGTCAGTCCACAATTGACTTTCCGGTAACTGTAGTTAATATCTGAGGATTATGTGGTACGTTTATTTGCTGTAATGACACATGTTCAGTCTACCACACAGTTGTGGTGTAATAACTGTTGAGTAGTTGGTAGATGCTGCATCTGGCTACCGCAGTGAAGTTAGTTTCAAGATGCTGCATCTGGCTACCGCAGTGAAGTTAGTTTCAAGATGCTGCATCTGGCTACCGCAGTGAAGTTAGTTTCAAGTTGGATATTCGATATTCGCGCTCCGCGGCCCAAGCGGTGTTTAGCTCGCGGCTGATCCGCTTTATGTACGCTTATGTCGGCCAGCCGTTCACCACCGCTCCCTTCCCAGGCGCTCGGTGCTTCACTTAGGGACCGTCAACAAATTTCCGAACCAAACAGTGCTGACATAAAAATATTAATAAATGTCTTTCCTTGTGACCAACTGACATATAAAGTGCTAATTCATGCTTTTACATTACATAAATTACATTTTATTGAATTTTAATGCTATAATCAATATTTAAACAATTTAAATATTAAATAATAAAAAATTTTCTTCAGTAGCTCCCAGGTCATGTGACCTGTTGACCCAAAATCAGCATGAAATTGTTCTACTAGTCTCTGTAGATGGGGCACACTCATTTGTTTTTCATTTTAACTCTTTTTTAATTTTTTACCACATATGGACACCCTTATGCTTGAACATGGTGTTCGTTATGGACAATCAATGACGAGCACAGAAGTCCAACAACAGAACACCACTCGAGTTCAGATCGGGGCGACCATTCCTCCCAACCATGCCCCTCCAGGTCTCACTGTCATTGCCCACGTGAGCGTTGAAGTCTCCCAGCAGAACAAGGGAGTCCCCAGGAGGGGCACCCTCCAGTTCTCCCTCTAAGGACTCCAAGAAGGGTGGGTAATCTGAACTGTTGTTCGGCCCGTTAGCACAGACAACAGTCAGAACCCGTCCCCCCACCCTTAGGCGGAGCCCTCTCGTTCACCGGGATGAACCCCAACGTACAGGCCCGAGATGGGGGGCAACAAGTATGCCCACTCCTGCCAAGCGCCTGTCACTGTGGGCAACTCCAGAGTGGAAGTATGTCCAGCCCCTCTATAGGAGACTGGTTCCAGAACCAGAACCATACGTCGAGGTGAGACAGACTATTTCTAGCCGGAACCTCTCAGCCTCACACACTAGCTCCGGTCCCTTCCCACCAGCGAGGTGACATTCCACATCCCAAGAGCCAGCTTCTGCAGCCGAAGATCGGACCACCAGGGTCCCCTCCCCCGGCCAACACACATTGCATACGACCCTTATGGCCCCTCTCACGGGTGGTGGGCCCATGTAAGGGTGGACCCAACAATTCACACTGATTTTGGGTCAATAGGTCACATGACCTGGGAGCTATTGACCAAAAATACTCAATTTTAACTTAGAAAATTGGTAAAAAAATAAAAAAAGAGTTAAAATGAAAAATAAATGAGTGTGCCCCATTAAGAGAGACTAGTAGAACAATTTCATGCTGATTTTGGGTCAACAGGTCACATGACCTGGGAGCTATTGACCAAAAATACTCAATTTTAACTTAAAAAATTGGTAAAAAATAAAAAAAGAGTTAAAATGAAAAATAAACGAGTGTGCCCCATTAATAGAGACTAGTAGAACAATTTCACACTGATTTTGGGTCAATAGGTCACATGACCTGGGAGCTATTGAAGAAAAATACTCAATATTAACAAAAAAATTGGTAAAAAAATAAAAAAAGAGTTAAAATGAAAAACAAATGAGTGTGCCCCATCTGCAGAGACTAGTAGAACAATTTCATGCTGATTTTGGGTCAATGGGTCACATGACCTGGGAGCTATTGAAGAACAGATTTTATTATTTAATATTTAAATTGTTTAAATATTGATTATAGCATTAAAGATTAGCAGTAGACACTTTATTGTTACTACCAATAAATACTTCATCTTTTCTGTGAATTTAAAGAGGTGTCTCAAGATTTTTCCATTTTAAAACTTGCATACATTTGTGGAATTACACAAATAAAAACAACTGTGGTAATAGTTATTATAAAGCAAAAGTTTTAAAAGATGCAAACTATTTTTTTGAAAGAATGTATTTGTGACATGAAAATAGTTAGAGTTTAGCTTAGTAAAATCATTTGACAAAAACACATAGTGCTTAAAGACATTATGAATGTGCCAGCCTGGGGTCTTGTTGTGTGGAGTTTGCATGTTCTCCATGTGAATCAGTGGGTTCTCTCCGGGTACTCCGGCTTCCTCCCAGAGTCCAAAAACATGACTGTTAGGCTAATTATTCTCTCTAAAATTTTCGTAGGTGTGTGTATTTGCGCATGGTTGTTTGTCCTGTCTGTCTCTATGTTGCCCTGTGACACACTGGCAAACCCGCCTATTGCCCAGAAATTTAGATAAGTACCAGCACCTCTCTTGACCCCTCAAGGGACAAGGGTGGTAGAAAATTAATGGATGGATGGATGGATGGCATTATGAGTGACTATATTATAAGTAGTTTTTCAGGTAAAATTATAATTTGTAGTATGACTTGCTTTATATTTCAATAGAAACATATGATGATGGTCTTGTGTGTCTTCTCTTCTCTTCCAGTGTATGATCACAGAATGGATGACCTAAGTGATTTCCTGAGACAAAGGAATATTCCAGAGGAAACTATCGAGACCATGCTGAAAGAAAAGGTACTATGTGAAAAAAGTAATCTGTTCTTCAGAAACTACAGTTTTTTTTTAAAGCTTGTGTTTAGCAATGTTATCTAATTTCATTCAAATAATTTGCATGCAATTCTAGTTCTGTTTTTGTAGCTTTAACAATATTATTTTTTATTGTCCTTGTTTAGATTGATACCAACGTCATCCAGCTCATGACAGATGAAGAGCTAAAGAATTACTTGCCATCGTATGGAGATCGCATAGCCCTATTAGGATATTGTAAAAGGAAGGAAAATGGCCCCCTAAGCAGTCGCAAATCAAAACTGTTTGAGCGCCTGAAATCAAAGCTGGGTAAAAGAAAAACTGCTCATGAAGATGGTTGTGGTATGGAAAATGAAGAGCAATCTGAAACAACTGTAAAGAAGAATGCTCTGAAGCCCAAGAGAAAAATAGAAATAGGTTGGATGCTTTATGATGAAGAACAACAGGCTTTTAAACAAGTAAGAGCAAGAAGAGGTGGTGGAACTAGGAAGGTTGAAATATCAAAGGATGCTAAAAAAAGTGAGCTAATCCAGATGGCTATTGGCCTTTTCTTTCCAAATGGAAGAAATAGAGAAGGGTGCATAGCAGATTTTGAAATAGATCTAAAAGATTATCAGGAAGTGGCAATTGATGACAACATCACTGTTGGACAAATGTTTCATGTTACAAAACTTAGTATTCTCAGGTTTTATCTGACCACTCACAAAAAGAAGGCTAACCAGTCAATCGGTCAAGATGAAGTTATGTCTTCACCATTGTTTCAGGATCAAGACAGTTCTCTTAGTCAGCCCTCCTCTTCATCTGCTGTAAATGTTGCAACGACCAGCCAATCTACAATATCCACAGCAGTAACTTCCGATTTCTTATTTTTTGGAAACATAACAAATCATGACAATATTAACTTTTCACTTCATTCTACAGAGCTTAGGGAGGAGGATTTGGATAGCAGTAACATAGTGTTTGTAGGACCGTTTTCTGACAGTGAGCCACAGATTTTGGATGATACTTTGCCAATATCCCCTCAATCCACATCAACTGCCAAGGCAGTGAAGAAGATACTGATAGTTCACAGAGGACAGGTACTTCCTGAGCTCATAGCACATTTCTGTGATGATGGACTTCTGGATAAAGATTTCAAGATCCAGCTTGTACTGCCAGATGGAACACCTGAGATGGGTTATGATGATGGAGGAGTCGTTAGAGACTGTCTTTCTGAATTCTGGAAAGAATTCTATGACCAGTGTACAACAGGAAACACTTATAAAGTGCCTTTTCTGAGACATGATTATGGACAGCAGCAGTGGGAGAGTGTAGGCCGAATAATTGTTTTTGGATGGACAAGAGAGAAATATCTTCCTATGAAGATTGCACCTGTCATACTAGAGCAAGCAGCCTTTGGACAGGTAAAAAGTGAGGTGGTGGAGAATTTCCTTAAGTGCTTGTCTGAATCTGAGCGATTTGTGTTTCAGTCATGGCAGTCAGACTTCAGCAGTGTTGACAAAGAGGAATTGATAGAGATTCTTGATAACCACAGTTGCAGACGAATGCCCACTGCCAGCAATGTAAACGAAATCCTCCAAGAGCTTGCACACAAAACACTTGTCCAAGAGCCTGCTTACGTTATTGAACAGTGGGCCAAAACACTAAGTATTACCGGGAACAGCTTCCAGGATCTTTCTTTAGTGTATGAAAACTTGCAACCAAATGCAAGAAAAGTATTAAGGTCCATTGTCTTTCCTGAGGAAATGAATGCCCATCAGAAGGACATTCAAAAGCACGTTAGCACATATATCAGGAATGCGGATTTACAGCATCTGTCCTTGTTTCTAAGGTTCTGTACAGGTTCGGATCTATTCCTGGATAAGAAAATTCTTATTGAATTCACAAAGATTCAAGGGTTTCTCAGAAGACCTGTGGCTCACACATGTAGCTGTGTCCTTGAGCTGTCAATGTATTATGATAGCTATCCAGATTTCAGTGCTGAAATGAACAAGGTTTTGGAGTCTAATGTATGGGTTATGGACATTATTTAGTTTGGACGTGGTGGAGATGGAGGGTTGAGTTCCACAGTTGTGGAACTCTGTAAAGAAAAATAGAGGAATAAGGTGGCCAGTTAAAGTGACATGTTGCCTATCAAGATCTAAATAGATGTTTTAAGGTTTTCCCTAAAAATTTTTCTTGAGTTTAAGGTTTTAGAGATAAAAATTCACGTGGGTGATGTTACCTTCCCAAACTTTCTCCAGATTTAATAAAAGGGATCAACTGTTTGTGATAGTTAAATGCTGGTTTGTATGTACAGCATAGCTGTTGGTATGTTTAAGGTTAGGTTGTCAAAAATAAACAAGGGAGATATTATACCACACATGCACAAGTTCTGCATATCTGTTAACTTTCAGGGGTGTGGTCAACAATTTTATCTCTGGAAAGCCATGATGTCAGACATCAAAATGGAGCTGACTTTTGTTATAGCATAATTAACATGTTAATTGTTAGCTGACATAATAAATTATAAGACGTAAAATAAAAATGACTCTAGGAAATGTTTAGAAGTTCACAGCCAAAAAAAACAAATATAGGAACTGTTTACTGTTATTGTATCTTTTTATGAGACACAACTGTGTCAGTTGCACTTGTTACATTGCATTCATATCCATAACAAAATCTTTTTCTGATTTATTTGTCTTTTTTGCACATTTTATTTCTTTTTCGGAAGGTTATAAAAAGAGTCTTCTTTTTTGTTTTCATGGACACAACTTGGTAAATTTCTTTATCTTAAGTAAATTAAATGAGTGCACTATATACCAAGGCAAGTTTTTTTAAGCACTTGTAATTTATTTTTGAGGATGTAAATAATGGATTGTTCTCTGTTGGCAGAATACAAAATAAATACATTCTGAATAAAGTGTAGAGTCTGTTTATTATTTGCTGTTGCACTCTAAAAAAATCGATTGGCCATAATACAGAAAAACATATATGTAAAGAGTAATGAGAAGATTGGTACTCTTTATATTTACACAGGTATTTACACACGACATATAGAGATAATATCTGACTTGTTAGATATTTTGAGGACCTGGGTGAGAGAGAAACTATTCCCTCAGCCCATCACTGATCATTTGACGGAGTCTTACATAAAGATTAGTACTTTCATACACATCATCTGTCATTACCAGTCTGTGCTCAGTCATGAGTTCAGTGCATAAGTGAAACACGTCGACATCACAGGGAAAGTCCTTGAAACGACATTCTTCTATACATATTTCCAGCTTTGTTAGATTAACAGACTGCAAAAAATTGGGAACCCCATACAGGTTGGGAACACCATGCATTATTGTGGGACGACCATGAGGAGCCCGAGGATTATTTGTAGACCGTATACGATGGTCATTCCATGCCTGGACAACTTGATCCAGCTCCACCTGTGTGATAAAGTAAACAGGAAAAAAATATGAAAATAGTTGTTAGAAAAAAAGTTATGCTTTTGTATTATTTGTTATTTTTCTTCAAATTTGGGTGCTGAAGTCAAGAAATAAATTTATAGTACCTGTATTGTTTGTAGGAAGCAAAACTGGATCAGTGATTTGTCCAGAAAGCTGTCAACAAAATAGCCATCCGCTTTAAGCTGGTCGAAATGGTCCATCCAAAACTGGGCACATTCACTTCTTAAAGTGCACCACCATCGCTCTATCCTTTGATTTCCTGTACTCGGACCGAGAATAACAGATTCAAAACCATTTTCATTCTCGGTGTTGTGCAGGAATCTTTGCATTGCTGCCACACAAGTGTTCTCTGTGCCATGATCCATTCGTATCTTTTCTGGAAATCCATTGTACTCCATCACAGCATCAATAAAATAGCCAGCAATAATGTGAGGGTCACTATTAGTCTTGTAAGCTTCTAGCCAGATCATTTTCCTTGAAAAGCCATCTATGCATCCATTAATACATATCCCATAAGGCTTTAATTTGTCATACCCATCCATGTGCCAGACATAGTTTGGTCCCCGACTGACATATAAACGTCGTCTCAAGCGATTTTGTGCACGCAGGTCAACACCGTTGGGATCCAATAGGCGCATCAAAAGACGTACTGTTTCCCTGTCTGTGACTATGCCAGCCATCCAACATTTCTGATGCATCCACCTGTAGCCGTGCTGTCTCCCAGATCCATTTAGTTGTTGCTGAATAAAAGAGGCCACTTCTGCAACATCTGTCTTATTTTTTCTACGCCAAAGGCTCTTCTTTTGCAGTCTTCTCTCCAGCGTCCGGAGACTTAATTTAATATTATGGATTTCTTCCAAAACTCTCAAGATTTCATGATTAGTAAAGCCACCTCTGAAGTATTGCTCAATTATATTATCAATATCCATTTCTCTCTATCAAGTTGAGCATATCTCAAGCTATTGGACCAACTGAAGTTATCTCATTATATTGAGATAGTATCTCATTATAATGAGATAGTAACTCAATATAATGAGATAGTATCTCAATATAATGAGATACTATCTCATTATATTATAATGAGATAGTATCTCATTATATTGAGATACTATCTCATTATAATGAGATACTATCTCATTATATTGAGTTACTATCTCATTATAATGAGATAGTATCTCATTATATTGAGATACTATCTCATTATAATGAGATACTATCTCATTATATTGAGTTACTATCTCATTATATTGAGTTACTATCTCATTATATTGAGTTACTATCTCATTATATTGAGTTACTATCTCATTATATTGAGATACTATCTCATTATAATGAGATACTATCTCATTATATTGAGATAGTTTTTTTTTTTTTTTACAGAGTGGCGGAAACGGGCTTCCATAAAGGACAGACCAGTACAGAAGTAGCCATTCAAAAAATATCCCCACTTTCCTTGATGGGCCCTTGGCTGGTCCCCTACAATTCTTTTTTTAAACATCAATATTTCCACTAAAATATTCATTCTGTCATGATTTGTGGACAATAACATCTAAAGAGAAGGTTCATCTCCTGGTCAGACCCTGTAATTTGGTGAAAGGGTGGAGTCAGAGTAAAAAAAATACACAAGACGGGTCAGTCCAGTGGCTGGAAGTTGGAGGAAATTTCCCTGGGAGTTGGAGGGAAGAAGGTTGCCATTCGGCTGCCGTTTGACTGGGAAGGGCCATACTGAATGGCTGCTACTGTAAGACCATCCATATGTCCTCTCAGCTGTGATAAGAACTGGCCACCAGGGGCAATTCCAGGATCAAATGTCACTGTTTTCTACATACATTTTCTTAATTTTTCGTCAGTATTACTGACTCCATTACTCACTAATGTATCGCATCTGAGACTTTTGCTAAATACCCAACAAGCAAAGCAGAAAGCTGCATTTTTTAGAAGAATGTTCCAAACTTTCAAAGCTTTTGAACTAGTCTTCATGAAAGAGTCTTTTTTTGTGTGCCAACCTATACTAGAGCAATTTTAACAGTTTAGGAGTAGTAGTCTTATCCCCTGAATTAAAAAGCAAATATTGAGATCCTTTGGCCTGAAAAAGGATCTGCTGCTCTATATGTGTCTCTTTTTCTTTTTCCCTGTTCTGCTCTGTCTCATCTCTCTGTTCTTCTCCTCCATGAATAGTGAAATTAAGCCAGTAATTTCACTATTCTAAATAGTGAAATTAAGCATAAAGATAATTAGGAAAATGTAATAAAATGTCTTGTTTAAACAGAAGTCCACTGATATGTTAAGTGTGTGGTGCATTTAATATCAGCCGATCACATAACTTCCATGATATATGTTGCATTATCCCCTGAATGAAACACTTGTCTTTGTTAGCTTAGTGTGCTGTTTTATATGTGAAAAACATTCAGATTATTTTTATATGTTCACAATTAATATGTGATATTTAAACCCATTTGTCTAATGGATAGTTTTCAATACCATCTATAACCACTGATCAGTTTCTCATTTACAAAATGAACAGTATTTTTTTGTTGAAGGTATATTTAACACTGAGGTGTGTATTTTTTGACAGGTACAAGACATGAAAGTATAATTCCAACCAACCAATAGATGTAGCTGTCAAACCTCACCATGGTAGGAGAATTAAAAAGGCTGCACAGATTGTCAGAATATAAAATCATGACTTCCCTGACATGTCAGAGGTACAGACTTGTTCTCATTGTAAATAAGCTCATCTGAAAATTACAAAAATACATGGGAGGGTTTCACACTTTGTTTGATAAAATTTCTGATACAATAACTGACTCAAATGAAAGGACAAGCTACTACAAAGACTGTTGATAGGAATGTCTGTGCATGGTGTTTAGCAAAAAACTGGGTAACCATAAAGCTTTGCCAACCCCTCCAAAAACATGTTTATTCCAAATGATTTGAATCTCAATCATATGGCACTGATTTTTTTATCCATGTGTGGAAATTTTCTGAAGTTGCACTCCTTTACAGTTATCAAAAAAAATTTTAGCTGTGAAACTTATCATGGAGATTTACAAAAACCAAGAAACCTTTTTCAAGGAAGGCTTTAATACATATATGAAAGGCCAGCTGCATGCTTTCACGATCCTTAATCAAGCAGCAAAAGATATTTGCTACAACTTAACAGGAACTGTCCCACTTTATTTTACACAGCAGTAAAACAGATTTATCAGGGTTTTGTAATAAGTGCAGCTCATTAAGCTTATTAAGGTCATTAAAGTTTTGACCCATGAAAAAAAATTGCATGTGTAAGCCTGCAAAGTAAAACCAAACTCCTGTGTAGGACATACTATTAATATTTAAATCTGACAACAATTGAAAATACTAATACTAAATAAATGTAAAACAATGTTTCATGTTTTCTTTATATTCATGATTAAAAAAGCAT